CATTACCAGAAAGATTTGCTTACAGAGTTGCAGCAATCGAAGAAGTGAGGGATATCAATACGTTGAAGCTAGATGAACTCATGGGTAAACTGCAAACCCAAGAAATGAATTTTAGAGCAAATATTTGAGAAAGGAAAAAGGTGAAGAATGTGGCATTCCAGGCTGAAGCTTCCCATGGCATCTCACAAGACCAAACATTTCATGAGTATGACATTGATGTTGAAGAATCCTTAGCAATTATGTCAAATAACCTCGAAAGCTTGCGTCAAAAGCTTGAAAATAGAGGAAGTTCCTCTCAATTAGGTAAGTATGTTAACCCTAAAAAATTTAAAAAGTTTTCTAATAATGGTTATTCTGATGATGCAAAGTCTAGGAGAATGCAATGTCGAGAGTGTGGGGGTTTTGGACATATTCAGGCCGAGTGTGCGAACACTTTGAAGAAAAAGAGGATGTCACTCACCACTGTTTGGAGTGATAAAGAGGACAGTGATGAGGATGAGAACAACAAAGAAGATCAAACCACAAACTTTATGGCATTCAGTGGTACTACTCAGATAAGCAAGTGCAAAGAGACTGTCGCTGAAACTGTTGCAACAGTCTGTCCAACAGAACTCAGGTATGATGAATTATCTTCAAATAAGGACAATAGTCTGACTTCACCATTTAATTTTGCAGGTGACTCTGAGAGCAGTAGTGATGATGAAGAGCCAACCCTCGAAGAGGTCAAAGATGTATATGAAAAAATGTATCGGAAGTGGCTTGAAGTATCGGAGGTAAATAAGCGTCTTGAAAAGGATAAACGTGTTCTCATGGAGGAAAATGAAGTGTTGAAGGTAAGAATTTCTACTCTTGAACAAAATGCTATTTCTACTAGTAGAGAAACAGATAGGTTGAAGGTTAGATTTGCTCAAACTCAAGATGCTATTTCTAAGTTTAATACTGGTAGGGTAATTTTGAATGAAATTTTGACCAAAAACCAGCCGAACTCTGGTCGTATAGGTATAGGGGGTAATCAGCTATCTAATGATACATTGAAACAGAAAGAGGATCCAAAAAGAAAAATAAAGTTTGTTAAACAATCCACTGTTTCACAAACTGTTGCGACACTTGCATCAACGCAATCATCTCAAAGAAAAGTTTTTGTCCCTACCTGTCATTTTTGTCATGTTCCTGGTCATATCCGACCTAGGTGTTTTAAGTACTTGAAAATGGTTAAAAGAATAATGGCCCGCTCACCACTTTCCGCTAAAATTGATCACACTTTTGTGTCGTCTCAAAAACTCAAGATAAAGGTTGATTTAGTGAATAAAACTCAACAAAAAATCTGGGTAAAGAAATCTGATCTTAATTGTTTATCTGCCATTACTTCTTTAAAATCGTTTGATGATAGTACTAACTGTTCCAACAGTTCTGTTGACAAAATTGGATTGGGGCATAAGAAACTTGATCTTCTGAATTTTGATAATTTGAGTGCGAAAAATAATTCGATGAATCCTATTCAACATTCGAGAACTAAGCTTACTGACATTTGTCATCGTTTCATAAGGGGCTTGGTCGAAAAGGGGGTTGTCTCAATTGATTATGCTGCAACAGAGAATGAATTAACTGATGCTTTTGCAAAAACCCTTGATGCACAGAGATTTGATTCCTTGCGAAAATCGCTGGGAATTTATCTTGTTTAATCTGATGCAGTTGCATGAACTGTTGCAACAGTCAGTGTGTCCAGACTTGCAACTTTTAGTGGTAGGACACTTCATATGTTTTTGCATCTCATATAGGACCTGCATTAAGCATACTGCATATGATTGAGACAAATGTGAATTTGATACTTCGTGTACTTCTAAACTTTGTGGGTGTAGAACTTCACCAATTCCCAAAATGATTTCTTAAAAGGCTCCAACTTATTTATTTCTCTGAATAGTCTTGTCATGGTTGGATGTTTTTATGGGGAAAAGCTGCCTCTTTTAATGAGTGAAAGCTACTCTTGAACTACTGTTACTAATATATATATCTACAACCATTTGGTCAGTGAATAGTTCGAAGCCTTTTTGAGTCGAGTCAGTAAATCACGTGGCCGAAAGCTCGCTACACGGCTCAATTAGAAAGCCCAAGGGACTACACATTGCACGGCCATTATAAATTATACATATGTTCAGTGAATAGTTCAAAGCCTAGTTGAGTCGAGCCAGTAAACCACTTGACCGAACACTCACTACAAGGCTCAATTAGAAAGCCCAGGGGACTACACATTGCACGACCACCATAATCTCGTTCCTTTTAATTGCTCTGTTTTTCATGGGAAAAAGCTACCATTAGACGTGTGTGTACGCTACCTAATAAGAGCATCTTTGTGTTTGACTTGGGATTATTAAGTTTATTGGTTGCATTGGCAGTCGGATTTTTGGGGATTGCGCTTATCGTGAATGTGAAGATAAATCCCATATGTTTTGTTTGTCCATGCAGTATCCTATTCACATATGTCTCTTCACTCATGTTTATTTCTCATGTTTATTTCTTGTCTTTCATTAGGCATTATTTAAAAAAAAAAAAAAAAAGAGAGAGAGAAAGAGAGACGGGATTTTTGTTTATGTGCCGGTTAAATTTACTTTTTTGTTGCAGCCGGATCTATTGAGTTTACTCCTCTCATCTCCACGTCTCTTAGGAAGTTTGGCAAAGTCTGTAGTCTTTATTATTTAATGTTGGATTTGATATCACTATCCTTTGATTTTCGCATTGCAATTATCGTGTGGTATTGAGTTTGTGAGTTTGTGACTTTGTGTTCCCGTCATGTATGGTGATTCTTCTCACTTACTTTCAAGATTATCTCTTCGTTTCATATTTTTGTTAAGTGTTTAAACAGATTGCTCGACACATCAAGATCATTAGTCCATGTTGATTTATCTATGAATGGTGATTGCCTAGAAAGGGGGAGAAAATAAAAAAGAACAGTAAAGTTGGCATGAACACAGGGGGAGTTCAAACAACTGTTGCCACAGTGCACTAAACAATTGCTGGAACAGTACTGGAATACAGGGGGAGTTCAGACAACTGTTGAGACAGTTCATCCGACAGTTTCTGGAACAATAAAAAAAAAATAGGAGGTCATTCAAGGAGGAGGTCATTTAAGGAGGAATTCATTGTAAAGGGAAGTTGATTCTGCTACTGCATTTTTTTTTTGTTCCCTGCTTAATTGAACAATTTTACCTATATGCTTTCCTAAGCTGTTTTTGCTAAGAGCTTAAACTGTTTGATAAACTGTTGCAACAGTTTATATGTGCAGATGTTATTCTGAATTTGCTAACCCTTGTTCATGCAGGTATCATATATTTAGGGGGAGTAAATATTCTGACCAATCAATGCCAAATGGGGAGAGTGTTAGAATCTCTGTGGGATTCGAAGTCCAAAACACGAAGTGGAATTCTATGGAGATGTGTATTAATACGAGGAACATATTTTCCTTAGTTATCTCATTAGATAATTTGTGAAGAAATAATTTATCTCTCCATATTAACACCTGAACGTGTGTATCCAAAATAGAAGGAATTTAACTTTTTCTAATATTGTGTTTATTGTCATTAATTGGTTTAGGTTTTCACAAGAATATAAAAGGAGGAGCTAATGCTGACGTTATTGCTGAGTCTTTTATCACGTGGATGATATACCACGCCGCGTTCCAAGTCTACCAAGCCAAGTAAGCAAGGGGAAGAGTGAAGTCATTTACAAAAGAAGCTGCCTAAGGATCATTTACAGGGGGAGAAACACATGCAGGGAGAGCTGACTCCATTATGAACCACCTGCCGAAGCCACTACTGTGGGAACAGTTGCTGAAACTGTGGCACTTACTATTGCAGCAGTTGATGCCACTCTTGTTGCTGAAAAAGATGATTATGATGAGTTGTTCATTTAATCCTGAGGATGATCTTTAGTTTTATTGCTTCCGTCTATCCTCTCATTGTTTTATTTTCAGGTATTTTATTCAGGGGGAGAAAATAACAAAAATCAATAAATGACAAAGGGGGAGATTGTTAGAATCTATTTGGATTCTAATAAACAAGGGATGAGTAAAGACTTGTGCAACAAGTCCTTATTTACCGTGAAACACAAAAGGGAAGTCTCCTTGTTTAGTTTAATTCTTTAATTTGTCATTAATTATTTTTTTATTTATTATGGAAGCCTATTAATATGAAATAGTCCAACAAATCTTAGACTTGTGCAAGACGTATCAAGAAGATTTGTTTCCTTGGTATTTTTATTAATATTATATTAATTGGTGTGGTGATAAGGGAAGTAGTGTTTTGATAAGTCAAGAAGATATTTTATTATACGTAATATGAGAAGTCCTTTCCTGATGTAATTCTTGTCTTTCACGTGAATCAGGTTTCTCCTAAGATGCAATATATAATCAGCTTCTGGTGTTATTATTCGGATGTTTTTTTCATCGAGAGAAGAGTTCAGAGAAAATATTTTTTTTTTCTCTCGTTTTTATAGCTCCATCGTGATACGTGATTTTCATAGAAAATATATCGGCTTCAAGGCTTTGTGGTGAAGACACCAAGATTCAACGAGTATCACAAGTTTGCTTCTTCTATACAAAAAGAAGATCAGTTCTTCGGGAGAGGGGCTTAAACAGATCTCGGGAGGAGATCGATCCGCCGGCTGAGGGTTTCAGCATTGAAGGGAGTTCAACCGTGCGGAGCAAGGGACGTGCTGCAAATTGAAGATTTATAATTCAGCGTAGTATACGAGAACGGCGTCAACAAAGAGGGAGTCTTTGTATTTTGATTAAGTCCTATTATTGTATTCGTAAAACTAAAAATTAGTAAATTTTATTTGCAGGTCCCCGTGGATGTAGGGTACAATTGTATCCGAACCACATTAAAATTTGTGTCTCGTTTATTTCTGTGTTTACGAACTGCTTCACGAACTGTTGCAACACTTAACGCAACAGTAACGAAAAACTGAATCTGACACAAATAATTTATATATGCACGAAATAAATTCTAACATGCTCCATTGTTGACCACTTGTGTGATTTTATATGGTCCTTCCCACTTCGGGTCGAGTTTACCGATTGGGCGTGAGGCTTCGGCTTTGCGGAGAACTAAATCTCTTATTTGGAAAGAGCGAGGGAAAACTTTGGAGTTATAAGCTTTCGCCATGCGACTCTTGTACATTTGCTGTCGGGTGGAGGTAATCTCTCTTAGTTCGTCGACGAGATCGAGGTTAGCTCTCATTGCTTCTTCATTTGCCTCTGGTGAATAATTGATGACTCTCCAAGAGGGTCCGCCAATCTCGACGGGTGCTACAGCCTCTGTCCCGAAAGCTAGGTTAAATGGAGATTCTCCTGTTGCTGTTCGTGGGGTTGTTGGATATGCCCACAGAGCATTGGGTAATTCTTCAACCCACTTTCCCTTGGCACTTCCAAGCCTTGTCTTGAGATGTTGAAGTATCGACCGATTAGTTACTTCAGTTTGACCATTTGCTTGGGGGTTTGCAACTGAAGTGAAGAATTGCTTAATAGATTACCCAAGGCACCAACTCTTGACTTTATCTCCACAAAATTGTGTTCCATTGTCCGAAATAATAGAACGGGGAATGCCGAAGCGGCACACGATGTTCTTCCAAAATAATTGGATGACGTCTTCTTCTCGAATGCGAGCTAAAGGTTCTGCTTCTACCCACTTGGTGAAGTAATCTACAGCTACAATGAGGAACTTGCGTCCTCCTGTTGCCGGTGGAAAAGGACCGACCAAGTCAACTCCCCATTGAGCGAAAGGTATGGGACTGTCAATCGGTTGCATCAGTGCTGCTCGGAGATGAAGGATGTTAGCGTGTTCTTCGCAAGGCTTGCATCTCTGCACTAGTCTTTTCGCATCTTCATGCATGGTGGGCCAATAGTAACCTTGTCACAATATTTTTTGAGAGATAAGTTTCTTCCACTTAAATGATTACCACAAATGCCTTCATGTACTTCCCAAAGCCCATAGTCTGCTGCTGATGGGTTAAGGCATTTAAGATAGGGAAAGGAGAACCCTCGCTTGTAGAGATCTTCACCTATCATTAGGAAACGAGCCGCCCTTACCTTTATTTTCTTCGATTGGGCGATATCAGTCGGAAGTTCCCCGCTTTTGAGATAGTTTGTAATGGGGGTGATCCAACAGGGTTCGCTCTCTTCAGCGCAATTCACTCTGTCGGTGGAGACTATTTCTGGTTGGGAGGCCGTGAGGAGGGTGATTTTCCGGCTTCCAATGCTTGCCATGGAACTACCAAGTCTAGCCAACTTGTCTGCATCAATATTGTTGGCTCGTGGTACTTTCTTTATCTCATAGCTATCCAATTTCGAGAGGAGGGTAAGTGCAAGAGCAAGGTACTTTGCCATGGATTCGTCTTTTGCTTCATAGGTCCCAAGGACTTGGTTGACCACTAACTGAGAGTCGCTGTGTATTATGAGTTTGCGAGCTCCAGCTGCTAAAGCGAGGCGGATACCAGCGATCAAAGCTTCATATTCGGCTTCGTTATTGGAGGCTTTGAAATCAAACCGTTGAGCATACTCGAATTCATCGCCATCTGGGCTTGTTAACACAATACCCGCGCCTCCTCCTATAGCGGTAGACGATCCATTGACATTGACGGCCCAAGTGGGTATGGAGGTGCTCTCCTCCGATGTAGTCATCGCAACTACAAAGTCTGCCAGGATTTGAGCTTTGATGGCTGGGCGTGGTTTGAATTCAACCCCATATTCACTTAGCTCTATAGCCCATTGAGCTAATCGTCCGGAAGTCTCGGGACTTCTCAATATTTGTTTAAGGGGATAGTTGGTGAGAACTATCACCTGGTGCGATTGGAAGTACGGACGTAACTTTGTGGCTGCATTGATGAGGGCGAGAGAAAGTTTCTCCATATTTGTATAACAGTGCTCTGGGCCTTGGAGAGCTCGGCTTATGTAATATATCGGTTGGTGACCTTTTTCACCATCCCGAATGAGCACTACGCTAATAGCGTCAACAGAAATAGCCATATAAAGGAAGAGAGTATCTCCTGGCTGGGGCTTCGTTAGTAGAGGTGGGGAAGTTAGATATGCTTTCAATTCTGTGGAAGCTCTTTGGCAGTCCTCATTCCACTCAAACTTTTTCCCACCTCTTAGTACCTTGAAGAAAGGAAGGCCCTTATCAGCTGATCGGGATATAAATCGGTTTAGGGCTGCCAAACAACCGTTAAGTTGTTGGACCTTCTTAATCGATGTGGGAGGGGCCATGGACTAGGAAACAAAAGAGTGTAGGAATGAAGTAGATATGGAGTAGAAAAATAAAATATTCAAGGATCCCGATGATAGGAAAAAAATATACCATTCCTAACTTAAGATGCAGTGTTCAAATCCTTTTCAACTACTTTTAATACCAACAAGGAATTTATTCCTTTCAAATAATTTTGATTTTGCTTCTTTTCCATTTTTTTTTAGAATATTTTTTTTAGACAATAGACTGAAGACGAACAAGATAAAGAAAACCTGGACGAATTTAATGACTCAAGAACATTTGTGGTGAAGGAAACAAAAAAAAAAGAAAAAAAAAAGATGACACTAGAAGGAAGAAAGATATGGAATGCAGAAAGAAACGAAACAAAAACAACAAAAGACTGAAAGGATAGACGAAACCTTCTTGGAAGATGGATCTGATACCAAATGATATGAACCACGCCAACCATGTGACGAGACCCGATAACAATACTTCGGTTATCAACTCCTGGACCGTCCAAAAGAGGAAATCAAAAAGGGGTGGAACCTCGACCCGTTGTCTATAAAGAGACAAGAACCTTGGTATGTGAAGACGCCACAATCAATTGTGGAAGATTGATTGATAAGTTGGGTGAACGTACGGAATCCTCCGATATGTTCGATGAGTTATTAAAGAACTAGAGAGAATAATCTCACAATTTAATTAATGATCAAAAGTTGTCTTTCACAATGAATAAAAAGCCATATATATAGCCCCAAAACTTAGTGTTCAAGAAAGGAAAATAAAATTATAAAGAAACTTAATAAAAAAAAAAAAAGGGGCTAAACCGGTGAGCCACGAAATTAAAGAGACCCTAATCAGGAAAGGTCCATAAACACACTAATATGAGCTGATTAAGATTAAACCCACAAATTTAAGGTAGGGTATGCTTTACTCTTCATCTTCTAGCTCTTATTTGCTCAACTTGGACTGATATTTAGCCCGGATGGTTCCCACAGTTGTCTGGTGCCTCCGTCACTTGAATATGCATAATCCAGCCTTGTTTATCACCCTTGAATGAAGCTTTCTTAGTTAAGACATTTTGGATCAATGTAGAAAGCTTCTCCTTGAATTGCTTAGATAGACTCCTCGTTACTGGTCCGGTTGGGACTTAGATTGGATCATCTTGCCAGCTGTTGGTTAGACCTCCATCATTCCCCTCCTCTTGGAAAGGATTTGTCCTCAAATCATCACCTACATAAATATAACTCAAATCAACAACATTGAAGGTGGTACTAAAATTATACATAGGGCTTTTCGGCTAGGATATACGAAGTCGTGAGAGAAATAATGCAATTGATGGTGATTATGATCTGCAATTTTATCCTGATCGGAATCGCAATCGGAATAGTGACTGGAATATGATGTTGTCATGGCGATGAGAGTGAGCATGATTTGTCGTTGAATATATACATAAGTGAAGATGAAATGAATGAGAACATAATTTCTTTGTGAGCTGCTGAGTACCGTGACGTATAGAAAGTTGTGAACAAAATATCTACCCAGTGTATTTTATTGTTGGAGCATTCAATAAATCCAAACACTCTTCACACTCAAGTGCGAAATGTTTGTCCATTTCTTCCGTGTGTGTATGTGCATATTTTGAGTATGAAATGTGTAATTTAACTATAAAATAATAGTAATAAATACAGATAATTACTTAGAAAAATACTGCCAAGGAAGTTTGATGTGTTATATGTTGTACTGTGGTGGCGTTTTCATCTATTTCTCCAGTGTTTAGTATGTTCAAGACTCATTATTTATTTTTATAATATTAATTGCACCATACGAATACCTTCAAATGTTGCCCAAAGAGTTGTCGAGTTAGCTTTTGAGCTTCTCGAGTGCCGATATGAATTATTGAGCAAAAAAGACGGTTTATTCATTTCGTCCGGTTTTGCTTTTGGTGCGGTCGTCGAAGCATTCGATAGTAAGGATGGTTTGCAAAAGCTTCTTGGTTATTTGCAAGATTGTGTTTTTCACTAACACTCAGATTCGCAAGGAAAAATCCCACCGGACTTGTGTTGCACTGCACTAGTATATGAGAGCACACCTCCTTTTGTTTGTGGATTCCATTTTGCGCGTCTCAAAATTAAAGTTAGGGTTTCGTATAAGATGTTGCATTTAAGTTATGAGGCATTGGATGCTGTATTTTGTCTATTACATATAGATGGTTTGTGCATGTGTTTTTTGGTATGCGCAATCTTTGTGCATGTGTTTTTCGTGCGCAATGTGCGTGCATTTATTTCATCAACATAGTGTAGTAAATGTGCACATTTTGAGTATGAAATGTTTATTTTATTAATAGTTATTATTACTATAAGTACATATAAATAGTTATTTAGAATAATATTATCAACGATAAAATAGTTATAGCATGCTTAAAAAACTAAATAAATAGTTTATATAAATAAAAATATTAGATTGTTGAATTGAAACAAAAATCTATATTATATATAAAATCTTTAACTCATTTTTACATATATAATGTCTATTTAATCATAATTTTTCATAATGTGATATTAGATTATATCATTCCTTAATATCATAATGCCGTAAAATCATTGACTCATTTTTTTTTATTTTACCTTCAAAATGATCGTTTTTCCAAGTTTTTTGAGTTTTAATAGAACTAAAAAAGTTTACCCCTATAAAAACATCCAAACGAACAATACTCATGAGCTAGCTCATGAATCACATCAGATTTCGGTGATGTGGCGTATTTTTGACACTTAAAAATGATATTTTGCTATTTTAGGAAATCTTTAGAAAATTAATATCAATTTATTGAAACAGCAGAAGAGGATTCTGTCTGTTGCGTTGTTGAGGGAATTGGGAGATCTATTATAATTATTTTTTAACTCATTTTCTATTTTTTTATGCAGAATGATCGTTTTTCTAGGTTTATTAAGGTTTTTTGAGTTTGAATAGCACATAAAAACCCCATCCATGGCAAAACAGATCGACGAACAAAACTCACGAGCTATGCTCATGTATCACGTCTGGTTTTGGTGATCCCACGTCGTTTGGTCACTTAAAAATGAATTTCTTGCTATTTTAGGAAAGCTTTAGAAAATTCATATCAATTCATTGAAACATCTGATGAGGATTACGTTAGTTGCGTTGTTTCTGGAATTGGGAAGAAATATATTATACTTAGGTGTTAACTCATTTTCTATTTTTTCAGCAAACTGATCGTTTTTTCAAGTTTATTAAGTTATTTCGAGTTTGAATAATTGTTATAATGAAATATTTTTAATTGTTTCAATTTAATGAAGAAGGCAATTTGATGTGTTTTTCGAATATCATCACTTTTCATGTCTCCTTATAATACCACATCTCGCATTCCTTCATAAATTTCAGCACATAAATCTTTCCGCAAACAACATGATTCGAACATCTGATAAAAAATAAAATTAACAGAATCATCAAAGATAAAGAAAATTGGTAAAGATTAAACGGAAAACCATACTAAAAAAAAAAGAAAAAAAAAACAATTTAGTGTACAGAACCGTCTTTGTTGTTGTGTCCTTCTTATAATGGGATGGATACTATGAATGAGGAATAATGGATATCGAGTAAGGTTTTTATACTTACGTTTATGTAATAAAAGGTAAATAATATATATATCTTTAAGAAAATAAATTATATCTATTAAATTGATACAATTAAAAATAATATCCCGGATCTATACAAGTCTGAAAAAATAATATGTATTAAAAATAATATACGGAATATATGCACACCGAAATTATATGTATTAAATTCATACAATTATTGAGAAAATTCGGAATAAATTTGAGATAATTGAGAAAATTATTGATTGAGGAATATCTTGTTACTAATATGGTGTGATATTGACAAATGTACCGTAATAAAAATAATGTCAGTAGGAAAATCGGACATCAGAATTAAAAAAACGGTTCCCAATTCAGATATTTTCGGATCGGAATCGGTGGAATTCGGAAATTCCTTTCCAATTTCCACCCCTAAGCGGTATGGATTTCGATCTTGAAAATACTAATTCATTTTCTTTTGTATATTCAATATTGTAAGATAATATATTATTTTTCATCAATAAACCTTCCTATACTAGAATCTCAATTTATTTAACATTCCTAAACTAAATAAAATCCCTTGAAGAAAATTATTGTTGTAAAGTTAAAGATATATTATTTTGTCACTTGTCAGTTTTCACAAAAAGAAAATGTATCCCTAATGAAAATTGAAAAAGAAAAATTATAAATAAAAAGAATAATATGTAAGATTAAATTAATATTCAAATTTCAAGTGTAAATTATTTGACCATGGTGATCATAACATAACTAACACGAGAGAAAAGCTTAATAGTCAAAAAAAACATTTATGTAGAGAAACTCAATAAAATGAAAATTGTTTTAACTATCAAAATAAAATAAGAATAAAATAAGAAAAAAATAATGTGAGCATGTATGAACTAGTATATAAAAAACATATTTTAGTTATTTTTTCTTCTTTTTATATTCTTATTATCGATACATAATCAGAACACTAATTTTTATACTTGTTTGATTTTACTTAATTTTTATTTATTTTTAAATATCATATCTTACTTTATTTTTTTAGCTATGAATTTATAGAATAAGTAAAATCATACATTATCACGTGCAACGCACGTGGTGCTTTTTAGTATATATATATATATATATATATATATATATATATATATATATATATATATATATATATATATATATATATATATATATATATATATATATATATATATATATATATATATATATATATA